CACACTGCTCACACACCAGCTCGGCCACAGACGTTTTACACCACGTACTGCCAAGGGGCGGGGCTGATTCTGGTAACACAAATGGGGTGATTCTGCCCCTAGGGGACACTGGGCATGTCTGGGGACATCTGTGCTTTGTTGGGACAGGAGTGCTCCCAACATTGAAGGGGTGGGGCAGGGAAGCGACTCAGTACCCTCCCCCAGCCTCCAGCACGTCCCCTGGACCTCTGCTCGGCATTCACAGCCGCCCTCCTGCTGTCATAAACCTTCACCTTGGACCTCACGTTGTCCTCATTTTCCTATCTGCACCCCCATGCCTAGGACTTAACAGCTTCCGGAGCCAGGTGCACAATTCCCCGTCCTGCAAGCTAGCGGTGGGGAGGACTGGGTGCCTCTCTGGGATCACAAGCAGGGAAAGGGCGGGACTGCAGACACAGGTGCTCCTGCAGCCAACACCCTGTGCCCACCGGTGGGGACCAAACACTTTCAGACTCCCTGCAAGGCTCCTCAGCCCAGGCCCAGGGAGACACACACCAAGGCTGCAGGAGCGCAGGCTACTGACCTGCGTCCTTGAACCCCAGATCAATCTGGAGCCTGAGTACGCTCAGGATGGGCGGCGGGGGCGTCCGGAGGCTCACGCAGCCCCCAAGCAAGGCTGTCTGATAACATCAACACGCCGGTAACTTCCGAATCTGCCCTCTGAAAATAAAGTCTACCTCTACCGGCAAAACACAGCTCATGCCACACTGTCTTCCCAAGTGCCCCTGGGACCTCGCTGCAGGCTTCCTCCCAACTCTAAGGTTACTCTCTGCCTGTCTTTTCCGCAAAGATGGCCCACTGTACAGCCTTTAGACTGAGACACACTTAGGGAAAAAAACAGAGAAGGCATTTTATCCAAAGGAGGACCAGGAGGGTCCCCAAAGGTGGGTCTCACCAAGACCCGAGGCCTCCTGAAGGCCACCGACCCACCACCCGACTCGGTGCCTCCAAACTCCAGCACCATTCTGAGGGTGCACCTCTCTATGGCAGGACACCCCCCTCCACAGTGTCACAGCAGCATTTCCACCCTTCCTCAAAGCTCAAGCTCAGGAATGCAGTGGAGCTCTGGGGAAGGCAGGGCAAGGGCCTCTGTTGTGTAAACGACCTGCTTGCCTTTGACTGCAGAGGTAAGTCCTCTAACAGCCCTTATTTGGGGTGACAACACTTTGCCGACAGCTGGGCAGACTCGCTCCCTGCAACAGGTGTGCCTTGGGGAGACAGAGACTCGGACAGGAATCTTCTCCAGGAAGAGGAGGAGGACCCGGGTGACCGGGCTCCCACTGAGACGTAAGGAAAGGGGCTGAGGAGAGTCGATGATTTTGCCAGTTTTGAAAACCTGCCCAGGCTCCTCAGGGCTCCACCCGCCGTGGGCCACAAGGAGAGAGGAAAGGGTGTCTGCTCCCCCACGGGGTGTACTCCACTGCGGAGGGTCATGGGTTTTCCCCACAGAGGGCAGAGAGGCGGAGGGCCCGCCTGTGGGAATGGGGGTTGGAGGGGGACAGGGCTCCACCTGGTGGGAAGAGTCGAGAGGGATCTCAGGAAGTGAGGGGCGCGCCTGGTGGGTTATGGCCCAAAGGTCTGGCCCTGAACAGGTGTTGGGGGCAGCAAGGGGGGCACACCTGGTGGGGCAGAAACAGAGGGCCAGCCCTGTGCAGGAAGGGGGTTCATCCAGGGAGAAAGGGCAGAGGGCAGACCCTCGAGGGTTCGGGGACCTGACCTGGACAGCAGAAGCAGAAGCAGAAGCAGGCCCGACAGGGATCAGGCAGCAGAGGCAGGGGTTGATCCTGGGGCCTGATCTGAAAGGCAGAGGCAGGGGCTGGACCTGCAGGGACTGGGGACCTGCCCTGGACAGCACAGGCACGGGCGACCCTGAGATCCTGGGGCGCTGATGTGGACAGCGGAGGCAGGG